CCCCTCGCGTCACTCCTTGACGCCCGCGGCTTTTCCGGGTTGCGCCACCAGGGGTCTTTGCGTCGGGGGTCTGAGGTTAACATGAGGGATCAGGATTAATGGTTAAGTTTAGGTACTGGGATCAGGGGTAGGATGTCCATGGTGAATATTAGGTCATTTTAGGCTTCAGAACATGTTCACGTGAATTTCGTACATTTTCTAAAAATGGTTAATTTTACCTACTACGGTCAGGGACAGGATGTCTAAAGTTAACAAAGGTAATTTCAGGCTTTGRAACGGTMGTTTTTGCGCATTTTMTACACTTTCTGAAAACATGACAACAGACTTCGCCCCATCTCGTCAGTAACTGACGTGACGGGGGTACCCAGCGCGTCAAAATCGGACGTAGAGGGAACCTTGCCAAAGCGTCACTATGTGACGACTTGGGAGTGAGAATGGGTTGGTATCTATCTTTCATTTCTCATGTAGAACGCATTTGAAATGAAAGTCCTTGAATTCTTGATTTAACCATTATTCTGCACAAAATGTAACTGACTCAAATGTGTTTGGAGCATTTTTAGGTCCTGTTTTATATTCAAAAAATCATGTCTAAGCATCAATTTTGTCTTCTAAATAAAAACACTGAAAACTAATTAATAACTCAAGTAATTTATTTGATCAGTATGTAATAGAAATGTGTATTAAATTTAAGATTTAAGAAATTTAAGATTAATCATGATTAATTCACAGCTACTTTGGGATTAAAATATAAAATATAAAAATATTAATCATTTGACAGCCCTCATATATTCAATGTAACTAACTCTATAAAATAATACTGATGGCCATTTAAAAATGTAATAAAATAGAATTTGCTTGAACAACTATGAACCAACCTTTTTCCTGGCTTTGCTTGGATTTGTTATTAGCTCATCGGTTTGGTTGTAAATAAAACGTTACTCTCTAAACTGAGGTTGTTCAAAGAACTACATTTAAAAAAACACTGATCTCAATAGACCTGGACTACCCTTTTAATGTTCCAGCAATCTCTAAAAAAGGGAAAAAAGTTTTGACAAAAAATTAACACATGAAAAAATGCCTGAATTTCTTCAAAGATTTAGTATTTATTTCCTTCTTTTTTCCAGTATTTAACCCTGACCCACGAGACTTCAGTTATAAAACTGAGGCCTCTTAGGTCATTTTGATCAGAGTAAAGCAGGGGGATTAATGCCTTACTATTTGTTCACATTAGCTGACACAGTTAAAGAAAAAAATAAAGCAGCAGAYAGAGAGGATGAAGAAGACAGTGCATCATGATGAGCATGTCCTTGAACACCAAACTGTTTGTCTCTAAAGTGTAACTTTAAACACTGTACTGTTGTAGGAGACAAAACCTGAGCAGGTACCTAACAGAAGGGCCACAAAGAGGAGCTTGTTGCTTCAAACAGTGACTGAGCTCAAAACTAAAAACCTGCATAAGAGAAAGTAGAGCGAGTGAGAGAGACGGAGGGAGCAGAGCATATTGCACCTTAATGTAAGAGGGATTTGTTACTTTGAAGTGTTTCTCAGTGAAATGTTTTTGAGGCTCATTTTGGAGTGTTTTTTTTTCCTGAGCTGCTGCTGCAATCAGCCTTTGTTTTTCAGTCACTGAGCAGAATAATGAGGTGGGACTGGCTCCTTGTTTCCCCTCAGCTACTTCGTACATTTACAACACATTTCTTGGCCACACTTTTCCCCTGCTTGCTGCCTTGATCTATTCTATTCTATTCTATTCTATTCTATTCTATTCTGTTCTATTCTATTCTATTCTATGAGATCCCAAGTTGTTCCCTGGTCAGCTGTAAGACTTGAGGCTCTTTCAGGAGACAACCCATATTACTGACGCTTGTTCTAACCACCTCGGTCCTTCCAGAAGACACACGGAGGTTGAGAGGGGGACTGAATTATCAAGATTARTCTACTATGGCTGAATGTCTCTGTTTGTATGTTGTACAATACACCCCATGTGTACAATTGTTTTCTTTTATTGTGTTTTTCTTTTACCTTCTTATTGCTTACCTCTTTTTTTGCTTTGAAGGAAATTTTGTGGCTGATTAGCAGAATGTTTGATCCAGTTTTGTATTGTCATCCTTTCTGATCATTGCAGCCATAAGGTTTAAATCAGAGGATGAGAGTTGGTGTGTCTAATCAATGTCTCCTTTCTGTCTTCATAACAAAGTTGGTAACGTTCTAACGCCTGAGGCAAAAGATCCCACCTTCAGGGGTGTAAACCAGGAAGACATAGTTTAAAAGGTTGATTCATCACTACGGTGAGGTTTTTGTTGGTTCTGGTGTGCAGCCTGGGACAGACGCTGCTGCTGAGAGTTTATTTGTTTAGCTTCAGATAAGGCACCAAGGTCTGCTGCCTGCTGAGGCCTGACTGTGTGTGCTGCTGCTGACTGGAGTCAGASAAGACAATAAAGTTTTTAGAAGAGATTCAACTGGTTTTCTGCTATATTATTCAGACTTATCGTTCACAAATTCCTTTCAGCTTGTTGTGTTTTATTTTTTTTGTTTTTTTACATTTCTGACAACTGGGACTTCAGTATCCAGCTTTCGTTCCTCATGCACTCACTTGGAATGACAATAAAAGCTCCTTGAATTCTTGATCAATCTCATCATTATGCACAAAAATTAATTATGACTCAAATATTTTAGAGCATTTTTCATGTGCTTTTTTAAAATATATAAAAAAAGGTTCATCATTGCATTTTCAAAAACTTTAACCACATGAAGCAAACCTGTCTGACTCTTCTTTCACATGCTGGCCTCGTCTCTCTTCCTGTATTTGTTACGGTGGTTTTAAACTGGTGTCATGTTTCAGGCTCAAACTCCTCCAGTATTCAGACAGTTTCATGCAGCAGCGCTTACAGATAACTGTACTTCTTTTCAGGCCACCATCAGAAAAAGTTTTAAAATAAAATACTGCCCACAAAAGTCCAGTGCAGGGCGGGTTAATGTAAGAAGCTGTGTGCTGCTAGGCAACAGTCCAACAACAAAGGCTCTCATTGGTTGAGATATGTGACGATGCCCATCTAAAGTCAATAGAGAATATTAAGTTCTAGTCTTCACCTTCACCCTTAATTTCAGTTGTGTCGAACTCAGTGGGGTTTTTATCTGTTCTGTTTTTCAGCAGTGATGGGYCTTCACATCATTCTTACATGTTGTGCCAATAAACAAGCCACACAGTGTCCGTGTGTCAAGCTGTCCTTCTTCATCTTTGTCACTCTGTCCTTATCTGTCTGCAGCGATCAGATGCAGATTGCGTTTCTGCGTTCATGTCTTCATGAACATGTTGACACTTCTGCCCCCGAAGATGCTGTGAGTTTGTGTGAGTGGAGTGTGTGGGCTTTTTTTGTGTTGTCATGGGGAAAACTGGAGGCAGCAGCCTACTGTCACCACTAAATTCTGTATCTCGATCAATCGTCGGACTTATTTGTTTGCTTACTGGGAAGCAACTGGCAGYGTTAACATTATGTCATTATCAGCTCTGCTTTTTTCAGCTTTCTTTCCCTCCCTGCACAGCTGAGCTACATTTACTATTTGCAGTGAGGGCAGTTGTCAATAACTGTCAGGTTAATAATGGTTGAACTCACGCGGCGCAGACAATGCAGTGTTTTTATCATGACTGGAAAGCAGCAGTGAGACTCGTGTTCTTTGTTGAATCCGGGATTTCCCAACCTTACAGTTTATGACCTTTATTTTATAAGAAGCTTTTTTTAACCTCTATTTTWTCTTTGTTTTCTGCTACTTTTGATCATTCTGAATTCTTAATTAAAAGATCCTGATTGCAATAAATAAATAAAACATACTGTTTAATTTTAACCAGACTGATGAACCAGTGACCATGCACAAAAAGGACCTAAGTGGCTCGTGGCCATTAAACAACTCCACAGTTAATYACAATGAATTGTACAGCTACTTTCAAACACATATAGCAGTAGCAGCTAGCTATAGCACTTCTATGGCAGTCTGGGTCAGTTTCTGCAAGAATATTGTATTAATTCAGCTGGAATAATCATGTACTGGAAAAAAGACAAATGAAAAAATTTAAAAGATAAATAATAAAAATAAACAATTACATAAATCGCTGCAACATTTTTTAAATTTGTGTTCAAACAGCAGCTCTGCCAGTAGCTTGTCCATCCAGTCAGAATCAAACATACTTTATTCAAAGTGATATTGTTCTAAGATCTATTTACAACATGTAAGATATTATTGTATTTTTAACTTCTCTACAGAACCCCACTTCAAAAGACCTGAGCTATCACGTTMGGCTGAAASTATTGAAAAAGAAGAACAGCAGCAAGTGATAGTCAGGCTTTGTCACTGAGTAAAAAAWGTTTTTATTTTCTTTTTTACTTGYTTTTGACAGATTTTATTAAACAATTCACCCTCCTGCTACCTTTGGGTCCAAATCCCTCAAAGCCAAYGAGGCCTTGTTTTATTTTTGACCCAAGGACAGCAGGAGGGTTTAGCTTTGAATCATTAATGTTTCTGGTTGAAACCAGCCTTATAGATTAGKCTGGTTTAGGCTTATTCATTTATTATAAAAAAAAAAGGGAACAGCTCGTGTCCTTATATTTTTTATAAGMTATCCTGAAATTACTGGCTTTATATCCAGCTTTATATTGCTGCAGAGGAGAGCTTTGTTTATCGATTTTCTTTAAAAAATTGCCTTTTTTTTAAATTTAACTCATTTTTGTCACTCATGCATTGACTTTTCTATAAAACACCAAACCCATGTGATAAATTCCAGGTGAGTGAACAAACACAGAAAGGCAAAATGTGATTATTTTGTCAGAACATTGAAGTCAGAAATAGAGCATTTAGAAAAAATGATGACATCTTGTCCATTGTTTCTTTCTTTTTCACTCTGACCTTCCCACGATGAAGCCGATGTTCCTAGTCCTTCCTGTTAGTATCCAGGTACAAATACACGCTGAACAGTAGCTGAATGATGGCGTGTCTGTCCCACTCACCTGCAGCCTTGAGCGAGGTGTATTTGTTGAAACCGATTCCCAGGTTGTTGTGAGGGTGAGACAAGGCCATGGCCGGTCCCAGCGGGGATAAAGCTGCATTGTTCAAGTGGTTGTGATCTAACAGAGAGACAGAGAAAACAATGAGGGAGTTTTCTCCAGAGGGAGTAACAGCATTGCAAAAAAAAAAAAAAGAAATAAAAAAAGAAGTTAGGAAAGTGCACAACTGTGGAATTTTTATCTGATAGGGCTGCTGTGGAGTTTTTATGAATGGAGTCCATTTATTTCTTACCCAGAATGCAAAGCAAAACATTAACTAATCTCTTTTTAGGGGAAGACTGCAGGCGTGAAAACACTGGTGCATCTTTAGAAACCCTAATGGCATCAATTTGTCACCTTAAAAATAACAAATGTGATGCATTTGCTTGTGCAGGTTAGCCAGGATTGATGCAAGCATTATCCAATAAAGGCAGACAGTTTGAGTACAAGCAAGAAGAGCAAAAAAAGAAAACTAACAAACCAAACCCAAAGCAAAATAATATAATATAATAT